GGGTTTTTTCCTATTTTTCTTTATTCCTATTGTTATTTTTGCAGTTTGTTGCACAGCATTTCTAATTTTGATCCACACATCATTCACATCGTTTGTATTTGTTATATGTTGTACTTTAAGAGTTTCACAGATTCTTCTGCTATAATCTTTCTGTATATTAACTTCCTCTAATTTCTCAATATCGTATCTATCCATAGTATTTAATTTGTATCTGTATTGTTTCTTGAATTTAACTCTTATCCAAATACCTACTAGGAGGTGGTCGGAGTCTGCATCGGCTCCTCTTAATGTTCTTACATTAGTTATACTATTTCTGAACCTATTATTGATCAGTACATGATCTATCTGGTTCTTGTGCCTCCCATCCGGTGACACCCAAGTATATTTATATATATCTTTGCGTGGGAACATTGTACTCTTGATTATTAAACATTTTCCTAATGCAAAATTCGCTAGTCTTGAACCATTATCATTCGAGTGTTCATGAAGGCTGTGCACTCCTGCCACGTTATGGTATATCCTTTCCTTTCCTATTTTTGCATTAAGATCGCCCATTACAATTTTTATATTTCCCACCGTATTATCAACTACCTCCTCTAATGTATCATAGAACTCCTTTTTTATTTCCTCATCTTTATCCTCCGTCGGTGCATGTACGTTGATTAATACTACGTGAAGGTTTTTATCTTTCAGGGTCAATGTTGAGATTCTCGGGTTTACATCTTTGAACTCTTTAATCATATGTATGATCGACTCATGCACAGCGAAACCAGTCCCTAGTTTGTGACCTCGTTCACTTCTTCCATTTATGATTGTTGTTTGTGATATCTTTGTTGTACCCRCCTCTTCCATTCTCACTTCTTGTAGTGCCACGCATTTCATTTTATATCTCTCTATCTCTCCTACTAATTCCACAGTTKCTCCAGGTTTATATAGTGTTCGTATATTCCAAGTACCACATTTTAATTCCGATATCCAATTTCCAGYCTTTTTTCCCAATCTAGTTCGAGGCTTGTTGTTGTTCGATTCCTGAACAGAAATTGTTTATAAGGTCGGGTTGTTAACCCGACGCTCAATCCCCAACCTGGAGGGCCAGACCACTCCGATCACTTAAGATCAGAGTGGGGCTATTGCAGCACCCAATGAAGGGCACTGGGCGATAGGGACGCCACTTTCCCAACGCCGTCTTTTAAATATTATTTGATACAATAATTTAAAACTATGGTAAAAGATGTTGTACATTAATTTATTTATCTTATGTGGTCTTACTGATTTGAGGTAGGTTTGTATTATCAGTAAATCGAAGAAGTGCACCATCAGGTTTTATATAATCTATGATATCGACTTGTGTGCTTACAGTGGTACCACAATAGAAAATAATATTATAAAATTATTCTACTATAAATAATTTTTTTTAATAATTATTATTGCACCACGTTCATAATGTTAGTTTTTATTATAGATTGGTTTGGTAGACATTCTGAGGRCATTGGATATCGAACCGGATGGTATGATTGGACATTCCCTCGGTGAGTTAGGTTGCGCTTACGCCGACAATTGCTTCACCGCCGAAGAGATGATAATGGCTGCATACGCTCGGGGTCGGGCCTCCATAGACTCAAATCTTTTAAATGGCATGATGGCWGCCATAGGTCTTGGTTATAATGCCCTTAAAGACCGGTTACCACATGACATAGATATAGCGTGTCACAACTCATCGGAGAGCTGCACGATATCTGGGCCCACCAAAAGTGTGTCGGAATTCGTTGAAAAACTCAAATCGGAAAATGTTTTTGCTAGGTTGGTCAACGCTTCGAATATCTCATTCCACAGCCGGTACATACAACCAGCAGGCCCGATTTTACTTGATTACCTGACTAAAGTGTGTAATAAACGCGTTTTTTTAAATAATTTATTCAATACGTGTTTCGCCCACAGCGTCACTTTCGGGTATTTATTGATACTTGTTTTTCACGGGCTTTTAGAGCATACCTAATCCAAAACCGAGATCGTCACGATGGCTCAGTACTTCCATACCAGAGTCAGAATGGAATACAAATTTAGCTCGTTATTGTTCAGCAGAATATAATGTCAACAATCTACTAAGTCCCGTGCTGTTTGAGGAAACATGTGTGCACATACCAAGCAATGCCATCGTCATTGAAATTGCACCACATGGTCTTCTCCAAGCCATACTCAAACGATCAATGAGCAAATTGGTTCACATCCCGTTGACTCAAAAAGTATTTGGAGATTCCGTGAGATATTTGTTGATGGCTATCGGAAAGTAAGTGAACATCAAACATTACGATTCGAATCACTTAGGTATTTCATCAAACATTTTAAACAGCGGTCATTTAAATCGTCATTAATTTTAAAATATAACACTATGGTATTGGAACTTATTATAACTGGACAATTTATTTATTTTTTCCATTACTATAAAGTACGATACCAAATTATTGTGAACGAAAGATCAGATGATATATATATATATATGATAGTTTGTATTTATTGTAGTATTGTTCAACGTTTATAAATGAGCCAATTGTAGAACACAAATAAAAAAGTACTTAATATCTTAAATAGCACAATAATTATTATTGGAAATGACAACAAAAACTCTTCTACAAATCTAGAATATCAAAAAAAAAAGGTAAATAAAAAAATATTTAATTTTCATTTAGGATGTATTGCAGTGGATTGAATCCAAACATAGAAATGTTGTACAACCCTGTTAGTTATCCAGTGGCTAGTGGTACTCCACCTCTGCATACGTTGTGTTCATGGAATCATGAAGAAGTATGGTCAACCCTCGATGTGAAAATACTGGTATGTATAATGATATACAAATTTAAAAATATGTCAGATACAACAAAGAAATTATAAAAATTACAGATAAAAAAGAATAAAGGTGAGAGGCTTATTTCGCTGTCGCCTTCYACAAACAGTTCAATCGAAGAATATGAAATAAACGGCCACCACGTTCTTCCACTTTCAGCACTATTGGTATATTTATTTAAAAATAACAACTTACAGCTACCAATAATAATAAAAAGTACCTAGACTCCCTAGTCCCTACAAACTAACAGATATTAAGTTTTACCTCTAATATGAGCTATATATTATATTGTTATTATGATAAAACGATCATTATCTGTTTTTTCTATAGTTTTATACGTGGGAATCGTTTAATAAATTACGTGATGAACCCGACATGACCTTACCCGTTGTCTTTCAAGATGTTCACTATCATCAACATGTCGTAATAAACAAGATCCGTAAGTAACGTGTTGTGTTTAGATATTAATTTAGGCCTGCAAGCCTGCAAACGTTATGATTATAAAGTTATAATGAAAAAGAGCTATGTTATATCGTTCTGAACCCTATTTTTAACCCAATAATTTTTTATTTTCCTTTGAAATATTTCAATGAAGTTATGAAAAATGTTTTTATTTTCTTTAAACGTATTGCATTTTAAATGATTTTAAATGATTATTTATTAGTTTATTACACATAGATAATATCGATATTAAATAGATTTAAATTTGGTATAAATGTCATTATATTATCGATTAATTTTTCACTTATCAATTGGTCCCTTCAATAAAATAAGCTAACTTTTAAAAATGTTCTCTTGCTGAATACCATTTTTTTTATTTTAGCAAAAATCGAAGGATGTTTTATCGTTCCTGGTTATTGAAGCGTTACTAGTTAACTAGTTMAATAATATTGTTGAATATTTAATATTATTGTTATTTTATTTAATGAATAGAAATTTAAATTACGCCTTAACGATTATGATCCCACAGCATAAACCCCCTAACGTGCAGTAGAATTCTATTAATCATTTAGATGACAGTTAATAATCATATTATGTTATTTCCATATTTTTATCGTGTAATATACCAAATAGTCTATCTATTATACAATTTGAAGGCAAAATATTATCAAGTATATCTAGAGAGGTGTATTGTATTATATTTTTATTTTAAAACTAGTTATAATCATTAAACAATTTTAAACAAAAATGCAATTTAAAAAAATTATCACTTGGTTGAAAATTAAAATATAAAAAAATGGGTAATGCTCTGCTATTCACTTAAGTGTTTAAAGAGTTACTGTAATGGGTGTGTTAAATTTAAATTTAATAATGTATAGCGTAATAAAGGTCTTAAATTATTAAATTAAAAACAAAGCCAATCCAATGATAAATCGATTTCAAGCATCCGTTTGAATACTTTAGCCTTAAGTACGTATTTTGTTAGGTAACTTCTTAGGCAAGTCTCTTATTATAGTTTTCTGGTGGTGGTTTGTTTTAGAATCCGGTGATTTGTGTACGGCAATACAAAGTGGAACTGGACGATTTGAACTGTGCTTAAACAACATAATGATTTTGTCTGGATACATTATTGAATTTGACCAACTGAATTCRAATAAAGATGCAACAACGGYGCATGAGGAAAACGTGAATAGCGGTGGCAGGAATTCTATAGTATCGTTGAGTCACGACGATGTCTACTCAAGTCTCGAACAGTTCGGCTGCAATGTTGGTGACGTTTTCAAGACAATTCGGCACGTGAACATCTACGAAGATAGTATGCGAAACATAAACATAATACTATTAATATTTTATATTATTACTAATTACCACGCCAGAAAAGGCTTGAAACCGTTATTGACCTTTATGATTTAGATTTGGGTTTATTTAATGGTTTTTATTTTTTTGGTACAAATCCTGAAGGTATGGTTTCGGTTACAGTATTACAAAACCTATGAGTACTGGTAATAAATTAGTATTAGGTAGCTCAAACTTAAACCTTTTAAATTATTAAACGGGACCTTAATCTTTCTAGACTACTAATCCTAAAATACCAAAAATACAACTTGACGATTTGTTTTGAATCCATTTCTCAGGATTAGAAGCAGATGTATCGTGGGATAACAATTGGATACACTATCTAGACGCCATGTTGCAGCTGGCGACAGTTCATCATATGGAGAAACGTGGAGAATTCGTGGTTCCAGTTTCGTTCCAAGAAATATTTATCCATCCATCCACGTTGTTGGAAAGTTCAGAACCGACAGGTAAAATCTTAAGTTACTCTTGAAATGTCTAGTTTTTAAATGCGTATAACTATATTATAAATATTATAGCCTGGTGGATAGTAGGAAGATAGTAAGTACCTTACTACTATAATTGTTTTACAAATTGCACAATATATATGTCGACTTAATAATACATTCTCTTTTATTAAAAATATGATTTAAATGAGACACGATTTCTATTAAATAAACGTACAATTCTGTATTGCAATATTATTGTGATGTTATATGAAATTAATCTTGAGTTCATATTGATTTCTTGCTTACTGGTATACCGCGTTAAATTGAATATTTGAAAAAAAATGTATTAGAATACAAGTATATTATTATAAATTTTAATATACTTCGACATTTTTATAAAAACCAGGAAAGTCGCACTGTTGTATACCTATATAGCAATATATAGATACATTATCTATATATATTAAAGTATTGACTTTTTTCAAAATATTTTTTTACATGGTTTCAAGTTGTTAAAAAACAAACGTTTTTTAAAAATTTTATCCTTATCATTTTTAAGTTTTTTACTTTTTTAATGACAACATAGAGTTTTAATTTCATATTCCAAAGCAGAATATTTTTCTTAGTATTTTGATTCATAAAAATCGAATTTAGGACGAGTAGTTTATGAGTTATAAGTATTTAAAGTTTAGACAAGCGGATTAGTGGATAAACATTTTGCGGGGTAACCCCGTACCTCACTCGGCCATTCTAAACTTCAAATACTTATAACTCATAAACTACTCGTCCTAAATTCGATTTTTATGAATCATAATACTTAGAAAAATATTCTGCTTTGGAATATGATATTAAAACTCTATGTTGTCATTCAAAAAAGTAAAAAACCTAAAAAATGATAAGGATAAAAAATATTTAAAAATATAATTTTTTAATAAAAACGTTGGGGTTTTTAACAGCTTGAAACTATGTAAAAAAATATTTTGAAAAAAGTGAATACTTTTTGAGATAATGAGTGTTTTACGTTTAATCAATCACCCTGTATTGTATAACAAAATAACTAAAGCTATTAATTTTTGTTTAAATATTCAAATTTAAACTTTAAATGACTATATTAATAAAAAGTTATTTAATTATATATTTTTAAATTTTTAGGGTTCTTGTATTAAATTGATTGATGAATATTTTTTAGTTAGTTTTATATGTATATTTAGATTTTTCCGCACAGTACAATGTATTTACAAACGAAGTTACATGCGAAGGCATCAAGATTTCTTTACCCTGTTTCGAAGTAATGCCATTGGATCCGTTGGTGAAGACCACGTTCCAGCTTAGAGAACAAGGTTTAATCGATTTATCCAATCCCAGTATAAAAGTGAGCTATATTACCGATGCCATTTTATGCTATTATCAGGGTTGGATTAATAGGTATAGGTATAATAAGTAATTCTCTATGCTCAAGAAAAATTTACCATTAACATTGAACCAATTAATAAAAACTTCTTAATATCAAACAAATTGTTTTCATTTCTATTATTATACAATTAATTTTTGAGTATTTTCGTATATTACTTGTAAGTAATTGTATAAAACATGATAGTTATGTAGTTTTAAGTGTGAATTTGTTTATAGCTTTTAATCAAACTCTGGCGAAATTAAAAAATGTAACATGTCAAACTAACACATTGCTCTAATTTATTTGTAGAGTYCGATAGATTTCATTGACACATGCATGGACATAGTGCTTGAACACAGACAGTGCGACGATTTTGAAAATGTTTTCATGTATCCATTGTACGATGGTCAGGATGCCGAGATGGAAAATCACTCCAATCATATTGTAAAAACTAATGTACAGTGTCTACAATTTAGTGTGATTTTAGAAAAAAAACTTTAGTTTTAGTTGCTATTAAATAATTAAATATTTATTTTTAGGGTATTGATGTGGTAATGATAGAAGATGATGACAACTCGGGACGACAAAATATGAAATCAGAAAACTCGCAATACGTYGCATTAACTCGATATGAAACGTTGTCACGAGCTATGTTTTTGATGAAAAATAAAAGTCGTGTTCACTTGATTGTATTTTCAAACGGTCCTTTATCTGACAGTAATGATTATACGGTAGTGCTGCAACAGAAATTCGGGAACAACTATATTTCTTTAGTTAAAAAGGTAATACTTGAAAGTATTTTATAATATAAATATTTGCGCCTTACACAGTATTAAAATTATAAACAATTTATGATGAATAAAAAAATGCAAAAAATGCAAAAAATGCAAAAAATGCAAAAAATGCAAAAAATTCAAAAAATGCAAAAATTGATAATATTAATTAATAACTCCATTGAATGGCATTAATTTTTACAGATTTTAAAAATCGACAGTGATGCTATTATACAAAGATTGACTTCAGAAAATATAAATTGCTGCGATCAATTTCAGGATTTGATAATTAATTTAAAATCTTTAAATAAAACCATTTACCTAGTGTCTAAAATTGAACCGGTTGATGGAATATTATCGTTAGTGAAAAAAACAAATAAAATAAAAAATATTCGGTAAAGAAATTGTAAACTGTATTTATGTAAATTAAGTAAACCACATACAAAATCTTTGTTTTTTTAGGTTTTTCTTCATGCTGGATAATTCTGCTCCTGGATTTAGTACAAGTAATCCATTTTATTCAAAACAAATAGCCAAAGACTTATTAGTTAATGTCTATCAAAATGGACGATGGGTTATGTATAAGGAAATCAAATTCATAAATGTTATAAATACCCAAAAATCTATGAAAAAGAYACTTCTGGCTAACTTATCTAATACATCGTGAGTTTGTGCATTGTATATAATTTAAATAGGAATTGATATAAATAATTGTTTAATTATTGCAATCACAATATAGTATATTATGTATTTTTTCAACGAAAAGTGGTTATGCAAAAAATATGTTCCATGCCTATTATTGTTTAAATTACCAAAAATATAGTTTAATAAACTATAATAACACCGATTACTACTTTTTATTTTTCTAACTATATTTAAAACACTAAATTGTTATACAATTTGACATATAAAGATATTTATAAGGTATGTCTTTATCTATGGTAAACGTTATACTTATAAAAAAAAAATCGAGATCCACAATTTGTATGGTGGATAATAGGGTTTGATTATAATTATAGCTAGCTGAATCTTTACACTTCGTACCCTATCAAAAATCCTACCTTTTATATGGRTCAAACTGTGTGCTAAATTCGTTTCATGTGATGATTCTAGCAGTATATTTTTACACATACAGATAGATAACGATTAAAATATATTAAGTAATAATCTTACAACGTATTCAATTTCGTATATTATTGTGTAATTTTCTTCGTTTTATCAATATAATTTTGACAATTCAAATATTGAATTGAATGATATTTAGGCCTACCTATCACTTTTTAACTTGGCCTATCTTCTGCCCATAGGTCTAATGAAACACTGTATCAAATTTCGCCGCAATCGGCCCATCAATTGGAATTGGGATGCATGAAGGATAAATAGACAAAAATCCATTT